GAACTCAAAATGATTGACATAGAACTCCAAGAATGGAGAGCTTTGGGGATATTGATGCAATCCAGAGACAATGGCAAACACCTCAATTGCAAAATGCAGTGCTTAAGTTCATGTGGAAGTTCAATCACAGAAGGAGAAAGAGGACAATATAAGAGTATGGCAAGCAGCTAGCTATAGAGCATGGTAAATTAAATTGAGAATATTGTTTTCTCTGATCCTCAGCTATGAAGCATGATGCTCAGAACAAGCAAGAGTGTTCTGATTCCTGTTTTCACATTCCTGCTTCACCAAGAAGGAAATCACTCCACCATGTCACTTCTATGCTAGAGAACAAGATACACCAAGCAGTATTCTTTTTCAAACCAATCAGTGAGAAACCAGGACAGGTCACTCAAGATCTGAGAGCATGCCCTGGAAAAATATCCATGGATAATGCCATTCATGTGCAATCTGAAGCTAGCAGTACACCGCAAGTTTAGTTTAACACTGAAGTCAAATAAGGATAAATTTAAAATACAAAGAAAAGAGAAAAGTAATATCAAAAGAGAAAGTAATATTATTGTGAATTTAGTTTGCCACGCTCTATATAGATGGCTGCTCTTAAACACAAGGGACTGGGCTATGAAACAAAAAATATGATTGGTACAAGTTATTTTTGGAGGCTTGAACATTTGACGAAATATTAGCAAGATAAAATTCAAGACACATGACTCAGAAGTCCATCTGACCAGCCCATGGCATTAGACTTCAGCATCATTAATTAAATCAGGTTCTTAGAGAAAAAGGTACTTACAAGTATTGGATTTAATTTCCTTTTCCTTTGACAAGGGTGTCATTGTTTTAGAGATTGGAAAATAATACAAAGCAGACTATACATATTGTTCCTCTTTTCCAAAACAATATTAAACTGGAAAGAATAAGTGAGAAAGAGTAAAGCAGGAACACGATCTGGAGATTTGTTTATAAATTTACTTTTTGAAGTATTAGAAAATTTGATTGAGGATGCCAAAGGTTTCCTACAACTGCGTGTCTAAATGAATGAAAAGACTAAAAATATATCAACAGAGCATTTGTTTACTTGACTGAGCAAGCAACAAATTATAGTTGCATTGAGTCTACTAGTAATTGTCATTTTGGATTGTTCTTACTTTCCATCAAGTCCAGTAGCATTCTCAAGTACCAGCTGTCCATACCAAAAGCCTTAGAAGAAACTGCTTGAATTCTGTCCGAGGCAACAACCCTGGAATATTCTATTCCCGCCCTCAATACACATACACACACACATAAAGCTCCTTTCTCCTGTATTAAAAGAGAGTAAGACAACACATTTCAACAACATGCTTTTCTAGGCATAAGCATTCCACCAAGTCCTCTCTCAGCCACCTGAGTCACTTCCATAAAAGAACATTATTAAAAAAAAAGAAAACTCACACCATGACTGAATTCCTTTGACACCTCCTTAAAAAAGATGTGCCGAATATTTGATTGCTCACCATATTTTAGAATAAAGTATTTTCTTGTCAGAGCATCTTCTGCAAAATGTAGATATTCACACATCATCAGTAAACTGGTATTCCACTAGTATAAGAGGTTGGTTATAGTTGTTTGTACAGTCATCCTTTCATAATACTCTTAAACCAATCAAGTGTCTTTCAAAAATACCAGACCTGAAGTTAGAACAATACACTTAAAATATATACCTGACAGGTGCTACTGAACTTGCTGCAATAATTTGAGCAATTCCACATTCTTTCCAAACACAAGATTAGGATGTTACTTCATAAAAAATAGACAATTGGGGAAAAGTGCAGATTTTTTACTTCTATATTGGGAAATATTATATCCCTTTCTTCATAGCTGCTTTCTGGTTTTTTGATTGAAAAGATTACCATCTTGAATATTGATTATTAATACAGCTTTTTTAAAAAAAAATAAATCTCTCCTTGCTACAGGATATTTCAGACTGACATTTCAGCTTGATTTTCCCACTGTTTAGCAAGAGAGTCTTTCAGATATATAAAAATGACACAATCATGCCTCCACTCTGAAGGGTACTTTGATCCTTTGAAATTCAGAGGAAAAAAATTTCAGTGATTTGTAAAGAAAAGAGAAAGCATCTATTCTACTGAAAATTTCTCATATTCAACAAAGGGAAGTGACAGTGCTAACCTGAAGCTTCTGTGGCTTTCTACACCTAGAACAATGCAATGAATTCTGTGACAAAAGGCACCCAGGTCAGCATGTTTCCAGTCTACACCCAATAAAATAATTTAAAAAAGGTTAATTTTGAAATCTTATCTGGGACCATGAAGGAAATTCAAATTGGTCTACCTCCTAGCCACAAATCTAACAAATTGGTTATTTTCAAAAGAAAATCATAGATCACAATGGATGACAGTATATTATATCGAGGTTTCACAGCCTAGCCGGAATTGCTGTTGATGCAATACCTTCGTAAGCTACTTGCTTCCCTTTTTTCAGTTTAAAGACAATGTCCTCCGAAAAGCTTTCACAGCTTTCACTGAGACACAGGCAGACTTTAGGAACAGCTTCAAGTACATTTTTCAAATTCCCCTGGTGCCTTTGTTCCACACTCCAATTTTATAGCTGCCCCCCCACCTTGTTGAAATTGGGCACATGTAGAGCTCCATTCACTGCAATAAGCTGGCAGTATCATCATCCATCCTTTTATAGCTAGACCTGTCTGCAGATGCCCCAGTACCCTTGCCATGTACACAGCAGAATTGCAAGCAAAAGACTTTGTGGCACACAGTCACAGCATTCTTTAGGATATTACCATTCTGTTGTTTCTCAGCCTTCTTTTTGTATTCTCATTTCTTTTTAAATTTCTTCTTGTCCCCATAGCTACACTCATCACATATTTTCTAAAGCTATAAACAAAGACAAAAGGGTCAGGTAAACACAGTGTCTTGTATAAAAACAATTTTTTATTTTCACATCAAAACAGCTTCTATTTTAATTACTTCTTTGAAAAGGTAATGAGTTTAAAATGTCCTTTGTTTAGCCTCTTAGATGTAGTCCAAGTCTGAATGGTTTTGCTATTACAGACATTTTCATGGGATCCATGAAATTAATTTCCTGTCTGAGAAAAGTATGAGAATCTGATGATAGTGCAAGAAATACAAAATCCACTGTGAGGAATGGCAAGAACTAAAATAGATGCATGGATGTCTTAAGTTTAGCTTAGTAAGTGCACATTGAAGCCAAGATTATGGATAAGTATGCTAAGTACTAAGGCCCACTAAAGCCCCAAGTAAAAGTGAGCTCTATTTAGAATTCAGCTCACATTACTCAGTTATTTCATTTGCCATCCAATTTTGACACACCCATTGTAGGTAACGTATAAAAAGAGGTCTAACCTTTTTGGTGAAAAGCAGGATGAACTGAGCTAACAAAGTGCAAAATATATGAAAGGCGATACATAAACATTGATTAAATCCTCCACAAATTCTCCTACCAGGCAAATATAGACTATAGTCATCATTATTCATAGTGATGATTGATTCAGTATTGCATTTCAGAAGATATTATACAAATTATTATGGGTGACAAAATCTATATCACATCATTAACAACTGACAATATAAAAATTTGCATCTGTTAGTATTTCTTCAGCTCTTTAGTTAAACCAATCCTGGGTGATGCAGTGCACATGCTTTTATTGTGTGATTTGGCCTTTGTATCAAATTCCTGCCAAAAATCCTCAGCAAATTTGCTGTTTTGACATGAGGTACAGAAGCATATGGGTTATGTAACTCTTTTGTCTCAAGAACTGTGGAAAAACCACCTATCTCATGTTTTCTCCAAAGAACATGCCCTTTATAGTAAACTCCATCTTGGATATATTGATAGTCCATGATTAATTTCTAACTTTAGGACATGCTAATTCCACCAGGATTAGTCAAACCAAAAGGTTTACATTCACAAGTGAGCTCTCTCAAACAAACTGCACACCACCTCAGTTCTATATATTGATGTATCACCTACAAGTCAGGTGAATAGCACTTTTGAACTCCAGAACTAAATGCAGGTTTCTTGCAGAGCTTTGAAACCTGAAATCAAATATCCTCCAGGAATTAAAAAATAAATGTTATTACAATTGCTCTCCTTAATGACAAACATGGTGTTTTTAATTGGAAAAACCTTCAACAACTACCAGCTATACTATCTGTAAGGAAGAAAGAAGGCAAATATTTAAACACTTCAGATCCTGTTAAAATCTCAGTTTATCATTAACTGCTTGTCAGACGAACCTTGATTTTGACACAAAAAGAATCTGCTTTCCCTAAAAAAACCTAAATTAAAAAAAAAAAAGTCAAAGTAAAATGTTCCACTTAGAAGACTAAAACCATTTTCACTGCAGTCAAAATTCACACATACTAGTACCATGGAAAGGAACACCAAGGTGAATTCTAAGCAGGTAAGCTAATTTTGCACTTTTGAACATCTCATCTGCTTCCTTACCACAGCTCCCAAAGCCTCAAATACTCATCCTGCTAGTCCTGGTCATTGAACACCATTGTGTAGATACTATGGAGGTTTTTCACTGTGTTCATTTCCTGCCATGATTTTATGTTGGACGCTTTTTGACAAAGTGTTTTCCTCTCACTAATCTATGCCTTACAAGATAAGCTCATCAGCATTCCAGCAGGCAAAATTTAATCCTACACTAGTGACATTGAAAAATGCCATTGTTTTGAAGCTGACAAACTAAGCTTTGGTTTGTAGCTTTGAGTAATATTTCTCCCTCTGGAAAATGACAATTCCCTATTTCCTAGCAAAACAAACAGTTCCTCTAGGCATAGAAAGGTCCAAGAAAACAACACAGTTGTAATTTTTAGGAAAAACTGTAGTTCACAATTCATACATACTTCTAACCATAATATCTGAATCTAAAACAATAAAATTCTGTTATTTACTTCAGGCATCAAAAAAGCAGCCTCAGAACAGACAATCCCTTATTATCATTAATAGGCAACTCTGAATTCATTATTACTGTTAATTCCTGATTTTTTAAACATTAGAAAGCACACTCACAATTAACTTTCACTGTGCTCATTGAAACTCACACCCAGCATGACCTGGGGACAAAACCTCCTCATACTGTATCTCAAAATGTATTATATTACTGAAGCATAGTACATAATATTGTGCAATATCTGTGTAATATATAGTCCTATAAGAGTGTGTGTGGCATTACACACTACCACGAAATTTTCTGGACAGATTTCTAAAATTGAGGTATATAGACAGGTGCATCCAAGAAAATTCTAAGGCTGAGATTTTGCAAAAAGATCATCTGATGTAAAATAACATGATTATCTAGTGTCTCTCTCAGAGTTACTCACAATATCTTATCTGAGCTTCAGAATACTAAAGAAGTTTCTTTGCCCTTTGCAACAGCATCTGCAAAATGACAACATGATATGTATTGTACCTCTCAAGAGCCCATACACTGTGGCTACGTAGCTTCAGTCTTCACTGACCTGAGAACACTTTCAATCCAAGATACTGTACAAACAGACCTGAATGACATCTCAAAGTACAAGCTGATGTCAGAAAAAACTTGTATTTTCAAATAAAGTTTTGACCACAATAGAAGTAGTTTAAACTATTTTCCTTCTATTTTTAAGTACATCACTTTCATGAAGATTGTGATTAGTGTTTGATACATGCAATTGGGATATCATATGTTAAAATGAGAGAAGAGAAAACAGAACATTTTAATAAAAACAAGAAATAGAATATTTTTAACCAGGAAACCATTTCAAAGTTGTATCTATCTTTTGAAGAACATCATGCCTTCACATCCAAAGTCACAAACATTAAAAAAGAAAATAAACAGGTAATATTTTTCTTCTATTCTCCCTCCTACTCACCACTCTACACATCCAGTAGACTGTATTATATCAGATATCATATTCTGACCACAACTTAGCATCAACCTGCTTCCAGATGCAGTATCATCATTTTGGAATAATTTTACCTATTGTTTATTCCATTTCCACCCTCACTCATGTTCAACACAGATACTCTGACCTAGAACCCTCACTTTTGAAGGTCATTTGAGAATCCATGCTTGACCTAGAGCAAAGGAGAAGTCTTTCCGACTCATCGGTGTACCTCCGTGCCCAGAGCTGCTCTCCTGCACTCACTGTTCGAGGTTTCAGAGAGAGTGTTTCAAATTTCACATAGGTTTCTTTTGCAAGGTCAGCTTCCTTTGCACTTTTTGGTTTCATATGAAGTTTTAAAACTTTGTAGAGTAAAAAAAATATCAAAGGTAAAACAACCATGCATGCTGCACTGCTGGCCACTATCAGAATAGAAAACTCAGAACTGCTTTCATCATTCAACCCATCAGTGGAGAAAATAACACATTGTTCTTTTGTAGGTGGCACGCCTTTGGGTGAGACACATGCCATATATTGAGTACTAGGTTGCAAACCATCAATTGTGACTCTGTTTTTGTTAGAATCAGTGCTCAGAGGCAACATATCTTTCTCACCATATTTGGAGTACAATACAGTCACTGCGGAGTTGCCTGTGGCATTGACAGTTTTCCAGGTTAAGGTCACTCTTTCATCAGTTTCACTGATCACTCTTAGATTCTTCACAGTGATATTTTGCTCAGGCATACCTGCTGTATTCAAGGGAGTGTCCTCACCTTTCTTGCCTATCTCCCCAGTCTGCTTTTTGTTTCCATTTGTCACAGCCTTTGAATTTTTCTTTCCATCAAACATGGGCCTGGGTTGCTTCTTGTCAGCAAACATGATGTTCGTTGATCTTTCAGTGCTAACCAGTGCTGTGGTTGTGCTCTGTGTAGTGGCAAGGGGTGTGGTTGTCGTCTCAGGTTCCTGCTTGGATTCCTCCTGAGTTGTATTCTGTCTCTCAGCCTCTTGCTTCCTTCCATACTTCTGTGGTGACACAGTTGTAGTAACTACACCAACCACTGTGACAGTAACAGCAGCTTCTGACATTCCTGCCAAGTTCTTGGCTTTACATCTGTATTCTCCTGCATCCTTGTATGAAATTCCTGTCAAGCTTATTATGGACCATCTGACACCCTCTCCAGGAGTTTCTTGAATTACTACAGAAAAATGCAAAGAGTATTATGAATGGGAGATAAAGAGAAAGTAAACATTATTAGACTATTTCTTCCCCTAAGTTATTTCTGCCAAAAGGAATCACATATATTAAACTTTTAAAAACAAAACACAAACAAACAAAAAAACAACAGTACCAACAACAAAAAGCCCAAAACCAAATCAAACTCCCAACACAAACTATGGAATTCCCAGTCATATTATATTATTAAATAAAAGTGATCAGTTTGGGTCAAAATGAAAATGAATGTTTGGAGTAATTACAACATAATTTGCAGTTTCACTAAGTAAAACACAACTACATAAAGCAAAATCAAATGTCTTAAAGTTGCTGTTGACTCTTAAATATGTCTCACTGACTTCAAGTGACACTGACCATACTGGCCATTTAGAACACTATTGGAAATTACCTTTATCTTAAGATATTTCAGTACTCTGGACTATTACCTTCTTCAGACCTATGATAACTGCTAACCACTTTGCATTAGCAAGAAATAGTTTTTACTTTTAAGTTACTACATAAATATCTGTCACAGCAGCTAGAATGATATCAGATAATGACAGCCTTGAAAAATTTGCAAATAACGTAGAAAACATGAATTTAGAAAATCCTGTGTTTACAAAGCTAAGATTTAAGTGGCTTAGTTATGGATTTTTTAACAAGAACATTTTGAAACAAAACAGAAATTTCAGCAACAAATTGTCCTTTCTGCTTTTCAGCTTCTGAGTTAGGGCCCAACTAACCCAATCTTCATTTTTCTTTATCCTTCCCCTGCTTCATGCATTTCTCCCTTCCATATGTATTGTTATTATACACCACATCCAGAATCAAAACAGCCTGATGGACCTGTTAAGACCAAGAACTAGACAAAGAATTTCATAACAGCTGCTGCACAGATACAATTGCCAACTTGATGCAATGCAAGGTCCATTGTTACTCATTACAATGATCTCAAAGCACAAGCAACCCAAAAATGTTTGGCTCTCCCATTTCCTATAAAAGAGCAATTGTACCTGTATAGTTCACTGGTATATTGTCTGACCTAGTCCAGGTAAGCTGTGGTGTTGGGTACCCAGTCGCATCACAGCGCAGCAGAACGTTGCTTCCCAGAGGGGAAGTGATTTTTGTTGCTGATGTCATCACAGATGGTTTAAGACACTGCTCTAACTCAGCTCTCTGGAACAAGATTCCCGCCAGGCTCTCAGGTCCACTGCACGAAATCAATGGATCAAGAAGCACAACTGAGCTGTCCACGATTTTGGAAAATTCAATCAGCTTTGAAATGCGGCAGTCACAGAACCATGGGTTGTCCTGAAAACCTGAAGCAGGGAGGAAAGAGGGGGAAGAAAAAAATGTTGTCAGGCAATACATGGATATTGTGGTTACAGTGTGATGCATGACTACCGCAAAGTACAATCAAGGACAATTGTGGACCTGTTCTAAGTTAATCTTTTATCTTTCAATTTGTCTTTTTTGTTCAGCTGACTGGTGGGGGAGTATTTTCAGAGGTGAGGAAGAACAGTGTGAATGTTTATTAAGCTAGACCTTTTCTTCACTGAAGTTTACAGGAGCATAGTAATGTAGTAGCACTACCTTTGCTTAACTTTACCATTTATCTAGGAAAAAATGCTTTGAAAAGATGTCTTAAGACTGACAATACATTTTAACCTGCCTGTGCCTTCTGGAAAGACAGCTTCTCAGGACTATTGTTTCCTGTCACTCTCCTCTGCTCTTGGTCCTTGTTTGGGCTTTTACATCTTGATCTTCTAGGACCCTTTTCTCAATGCTTGCAGAGAACATGATGATTTAAGGGTTTAGAGCTTACGTCAACATCTCTGTCCCTTGAAAAAAAAAAGGATAAAAGCTAAAGTTTTAGGCCAATAAAATTCTTATCTGGCTCTGAACTAAATAACAATATTGTTAGAAGTCTGGCTTCAATTTAGTACAGCCTTTGCAATATATTCATAAAAAGAATAGCAGAGGGGTAGAAAATAGGAAGGACCACAAAACCCCCTGATGATTACAATATTTTTATGAGGGCATACAAGAACTCTCTTTCTCTTCTGTCAGAGGCCATAACATTTGCTTCTTGATTCCAGTCTTTGAATGAGAGGCTTCTCCACCTTTGTGAACGTACTGTGTTGAAAGAAAATATCCATTTCTAAGGAATATCAGTTTAAATCCTCAGCTAGTATTTATTACTCCACTATGTTGACCTTCATAGAGCAACAGTGACTTCACCAGGTAAAATGCCACACAGCATGTCACTCATGTATTCAAATATTTTCTCATTTGACTTATACTTTTAAGCATACCTTTCTCATCTGAGTACTAATAATAAATATAGTCTGAAACAAGGGATATTATGTAAGAACCCCTCCCTATTTAATTTACTGATGAACTCAACAGAAAAGTCAAACAAATATTAAAAGAAAAAAAAAGCCTGAAACACCTGTTTTGTGTATTGTTAAGAATTATCAAAACAGCTAATGGAAAAATGCTTTGTTTTGTTCTGAAAAAATGTACAGATGAAAGAATACATGAATAATTAACTACTGCTTCCTTTTATCACCAGACCAAGATTAGGTTATTTTAAGCACAATGGTAGTGATTGGTTAAAACTGTGGTGAATCTCAATTAATCCCCACTCTTTAAAACAAGACTTGACCTGAAGAGATTCCGTGACTTTGACATCACAATCCAATTTCACTCCTTCCAGACAGAAGAGATTTTACATCTATTCACTACTTATTGCTTGCTAGAACAGAGAAGGAGAAGTCAAGGAAACTGTATCAGAACTGCTTTTCCTAAAAAACAAAAACAAAAACAAAAAAAACCAACCAACCAAACAAACAAAAAAACCCAAACACCTCCAAAATATAAAAATTTTGCCTATTATCTTCACACATAAATTCACAAGGAAAAGAGATGCCATCCAAGTGTGTTTTCCATATCTAGGCACATCAGCTGTTTGTGCTTATAAAAATTCTGCTCAATTGAGCACATTCATGTAATTAGTTTTGCTCATCTTTTCAATTAGGGAAGCTTGTAGTTACAGAAAATACTCCTGTAATATTCGTTATTTTTTTTTCATTCTCACTTGCTTATAAGGGGTCAATTTTCCTCACTCTGTTTAGAAATAGACTATATGAGCATTTCAATATTGAACTCCCCTAAGGTATAAGAGGGAAAGCAGGATTCCCTTGAAACAAGGGGCCTCAACTGCTGAAGTTCCTCCATAGCAAATACTGCTTGTGAAAAATGCTTGTGAACTCCTGGCATGGCCCCTGTGCTATCTAGAGGACAGAAGCAGGGGTCAGCTGTGCTTCAAGCAGGGAGCAGAGCAGGAACTCTGGGCCCACAGCATTAATCAGGACAGATCTGCAGCATCAGCAGAGCTCCCCTCCCACATACTAGGCAGCAGATTCTCCGTTATGTTAAATGCTATAGAAAATATTTCTGCCAGCTTTCTGCATCCTACAAACTTTACTGCAGGAAAGGAAGAGGTTTATTACTGTTTCTAACCTACTCAAAGCGCTCAAAAGCTGTTATTGAAATAGAATCATGGAATGATTATGTTAGAAAAGACCTTTAAGACCATCAAGTCCAACTGTTAATCCACTACTGCCAAGTCCAGCACTAAACCATGTATTTAAGTGCCACGTTTACATATCTTTTAAATACCTTCAGGGCTGGTGACTCCACCACTCCCCAGACCACCCTTTATACAGACATGGCTTTCTTATTCTTGCAGTGTCCTGAAGAAAACCCAAGTTGTTAAAGTAAGTATCGGAAATTGACAAAATAAAAGGAATGATGAAGAAAAGATGAACAGTCCTTAGACTGGATGGTTGATTAGTCCAGTCTGGGACACAGCTTTGGCCATCTCAGGTCATTCTGAAATCCTGGTTTTAACTTCAGAGTAAAGCTGTAGTCCCAGACGGCTCCACTTCTGCGTGTAGTGCAAAGAGAGTGTTACATCAGTTAGCCAGCTCATCTCCCCCATCCATCTTGCTTCCCAGTGGAATTGGCTAAAAAGCAGGACTTACATAAATACAGATAACATATACAGCTACAGGAGTTCCTTCCTTGCCTCCACAGCACATTCCTTCTATTTACCTGTGTCTTGCCAATATCTGACAGCATTCACATTATTTTTAGCCATTGTAAAGCATCAAGTCATGTGAATTCCCAAAATGAAAAGACAAAAGCACTAGTGAGTTGGAAGCAAAGATAAACACTGAATTTGATTACATTTCAGTTAGATATTGAAGAGAACAGAAATGTGGATGTAAACCTAGTTTCCAAACTACAAGGGGCATTCTGAAATTTAACAGTTTGTGTTTACAAGATGGTAGAAGTGAGAACAAACATGTGAAAGAATAAAGAAAAAGTTTAAAAAGGGGAAAAAATAAGAAAATGGAAAAGAATAGGGAACTTTAATAAAGCAATAAGATGGAATCCCCTTAATTACTTAAGAAGTAAAAATAAAAATAATGAGTCTCCAATGGCACATGTTTTTGATGAAAATCTTTATAAACGCTGAATTCTTTTGTAGAAATATTAAGGCAGCTTGTTGATCTGAGAAAGAAATACTAGCCAAGGCAAAACAAATATTGATAAATATTTATGCATTGCAATATACCAATGCAGTGTTATTTTAACATTAAATATTAAATATAAATTGCTCTAAAAACCTTTCTCTTTCTAGATTTAGCATATTTTATGTTTACTGTCACACATTTATATGTATGCTTGCATGTACAACAGCAAATACATGTATATGTCCATGCACATTTTTGTAGTCTTCTCAGTAAGCAGTGTTTTCCCCGTGCTGTGTCAATATGGACTTTAGCGTTTGAAATAGCTATGAGCAAAATTTACTTTGTAAATCAGTAACCAGACTCAGACTTTAACTTGTGTAACTGCTTTTCAGCTGCTGCAAAATGGTAAGATGCAAAATATTCAAGTTTTTAGCTGATAGACATTTTCACCACAGCTTGGGCCAACCCAACCAAGGCTCTTTCCCACTGAAGCTACAAATTTTGGTCCATGGTTCTAAACAGTAAAATCCGCATCCAACACTGTGTTGCAGTGTTTTCTGCACAGGGCAATTGCTAGGGAGTATATTCAGGAAAAGAAGTATCTCTCCAATGGCCCAGCTGGGAGCCTGAGGGACCTGCAGCATTCCAAATTTTTGGCACCTCTACGTGCAACAGAGGAAAGATCTCATCTAACTGCTACTCTACTAAATCCTGGATTCCTCTGTTCCTCTCAGTGACTCATCAGAGTACACAATATGGAAAATGCTACTGCCATCATTCACGCCAGAAATGTCAATCTCTTACAGCAGCCAGTGCTGAAACTCATTTGTAATTTGGATCAAAGTATTAGGCTGTGGCTCCAGAGGTAACCAAGAGAGGGCCAGAACTCACACACTGCTCCCTCAATCATCTGCACTGCTTAATTGTCGGCTCACTCCACGGCTTTATTTTGAGCTGTTCCAAAGGGCATTTCCAAGACAAAGCCAGAAGTAGCTCCAGGGACAGTTTGCACTCAAGGATTGCTCCCTGAAAGGCTTACGGATGACACCACACCAAGGGTGGTTCTCTCTGTCCTGTTGTTACCCCCAATGTCAGTGCAGTAGGCTTTGCACCTCCTAACTATTCTATCACCCTATCATTCCATAAGGCATACAACATACCCCTGCTATTTTTATTACAAGAGCACAGCTGTATGGTTTGAAGGCAATTCCCACATTCCTTCAGGCAGGTTAGAGTGAAGGAAAAGCACCCCTGATTCATGGAATTACATTTCAGAGTCACTGCAGTGTCCTGTAGAGCCCACAGAGAACCAAGGGCTAAGTATTACAAAGTGTGGAATGGACAGCCAGCTTTAAAGAGAGCTGGCCCTAAACTGGATGAGAACCAGAGTGGGTCACTTGGCCATAAGGCCAGGAATCATTCCCTAACCCACTTTCATTTAGCACAGTGCACACATGGAGGAACATCATACAGAGGGAGGTATTTAAAAAATCCAAACCTCTTAGTGCAGAGATTATAAACTGGAATAAGGAGATGCTAACATGTCAGTCCGCTGGCAGTAGTCTTTGGCTCCTCCAAGAGTCCTTGAAAAAAACATGAGGAACCTGAACTTTTTCTTACCTGCAACCTTCTTGATGCTCAGTGAAGACACTGAAGATAAAATTGCCTGCTGGTGGTAAAAAACACATATGCACAAACATCTGAATTTGGGGCTTTGTTGGTTTTGATCTTGTTAACTAAATACAAGTGGCAATCTTATCTTGCCAGAACCGGGAGAGATGACAGCTCAAGACACAATTGCTTACACTAATTAGAATCTGCTGCTTCCCTGACTAGACAAAAACAATATTTGTTTGTTCTGGGTTCTATCTTCTAGCAGAGTTCAGGCTGCAGTTACCATTCTAAGGAGGTACATAAGTCAGGTTGAATGCTCTCACAGAGAATAGCTGAACTACATAGGACAGTCTTGAGCATCAAAGCATGAAAGCATGCAATTGTGGGCATCACACTTTAGGAGACATGTTTTTTTAAAACTCAAAAGAGTCCAAAGGGAGTCAATAGCTATGGTAGAAAATGAGAAACACCCTCCACCTCCTCCTCCTCCAAAAAAAAAAACACCACAAAAAACCCCCACCAATCAAAAAATCCTTCACATTATTTTAACTATATTAGCAACTGGTGAAAAAAAATCTGTGTGATTAGTTAGAATGGCAAACAGGGAAGGAAAACATGAACGATTACTATGAGAGATGGTAATTAGTTTTTTTGTATGTCCATCTCCTGTAGGACAAGAGGTAATCAGCTTAGTCTGTAGTAAGGGAGATTGAGGTTACATATTAAGAGAAACTTTCTCACTATCCTGATAGATAAGCATTGGAGGAGGTTACCACAGGAGGCTATGGGGGTGGTCTGGACACAGGCTTTAAGAACAGCTATGACTTTACCAGAAGGGCTCAGTTCCTCTGGATCTGCATCCTATGTGATCCTTCCTGATCACATACCTCTGTGATCTTTATCTCCAACTCAGAGGAGGCGGAGAGTATCTATGGGATACATTTCTTCTCCCTCATGCTCCAACAAGCCACATAGAGACAGGAGTGCCAAAGCCAACTTTTCCTTAGAGATGGTTGGAGCATTACAGAGACATCTCAACTCCTAAGTGATCTTTCTAGCCTGATAGTTTCTATCAACCATTCATTCCTGAAAAACAACTGCTTTGTAGCAGTCCATCAACAGTGCGAGTGAGGGCAAGTGCTGTAACTACAACTTGCAATACACATAACAAAACTAGCACTCAGTGAAGACTAAGTAAATTTGTCAAAATAACCCATGACATAAAGAGCCTTGCACTGTCAAATCTCCAGAGGAAGGGGACTGTCTTACTCACAACAGAGTTTATTATGTAGCAAGCACTGTCTCTCTTCACTGGGATATACTCATCAGAAAGCTATGATGTCAACGACAAAAAAAAAAATTCAGCTAATTAATTCATAGCTTACATAAGGTAGATTTATTCAACGCAACACAATAAAAGTACTACCTGGCATTTTGCATTCTCAGATACAAATCTGTGATGGCTGCACAGCACCTTCCTTAGCACCTAACAGTAAAAAATAAAAGAGAAGCAAAGTGCTGTTTAAACTCACAGGGTGTGTCCCTCTGAAGATCTGCGTTAAAACCCATTTGTAGTTCATAACAGAAAATGGTCCAAAGGTCACATCTCAGGTCTCTAAAGAACTCAATGCTGGCACTAGAGGGTTTTCCAGGACTAGAGGAGGCTGGCAATGTGCCTGCACTAAGGAAGCATGCAGATGGTTGCCAGGGGTGAGGGGAAGAGAGAAGTGTGCGTGTGGTTTTAGGATTTTTTGGTGTTTATTCTTTCTGTTGGTTTGTTAGTTTTTCTTTTCGGGGGGGGGGGGGAGGGGGAAGGGGATGCTAGGAGGGTGTGGTGTTTAGGGTTTTTTTTAGTTTCTTTTGGTTTATTTTTTAAGTGGTGAGGGCCGTGTAAGACAAGGAAACCAATTAACCCCTGGGACTCCCTCATCAGATCACGAGGAGGATTAGATCTAGCACAGTCAGCTCTTACTTTACTGCCTCCTGTAGCCTTCAGTGTGGGGACAGGGAAAGGAGTACTGAGATGGACTTACTTTTACAGCTTTCTCTCTTTTTTTTTTTTAATCCTGAATAAACAAAGATCCTTTAATGCCGCAAACCTACAATTTGCATGCATATAAGTTGTTCAGCCCACTTGCATCTATTAAGTCACTTATATAAAATCTCATTTAAATGAGTTTCAAACTGCAGCTTCTGCTGTAAAACAAAACAGCTGAACAAATGAGCACTGAATAGTGGGGCTTTCGATCAAGAAATTGGAAATACTAGGCAGTACAACACAGAGCTGATCTTTACCAGTGCTTATAGAACTACTGCAGTAGAGACAGCCAGCTGGTTTTCCTCCCTTCCGCTTGCTACACTACAAAAAAAGTCAAAACAAGCACTTATATGTAAACAGTGACAGAAAAGAACACTGTTGATAGAACTGTTCCAGCTACATTCTGAGACTGCAGAAGAGAAAGGGAGTACCTGTAAGACTAAGAAGTGGAGAGAAAGTGTAAGATACAGCACAAAGCCACAAATAGAACTGATATAATTGTACTATAGAGAGATGGATAAAATTATTAAAAAAGTCAGAGTGTGACCAAATCATTCTTATATACTTGCCTTAAAAATTCTAAAAAGTACCTTGAAGTTGTAGGGATCAGTTTCCTACTCTCTCTCATATTCAATATGTAAATTGGGAAAAACTTCAGGATAATCAGTTACCTTTAAAACAATGCAAGGTCAACGGGGGCCCTGGAGAGAGCAGAGTTGCCCTTTTTTGAGCCACCAACACTATCTGCAGCACTGTGTCACAGGACAGGCTTTATATGAGCATCAGCTCCCAGCTACTTGCTTGGCTTGTGAGCCATTGGGAAAATCACCCGCAAATGGACATGCTCGCAGTTGAGAACACATACAGAGATGACAGAAATGTCACCAGAAACACTGTATAAGTCCTGCATTTATATGGCTACTGAATACTCCATATGGCCCATATTCACATAGACTGGGTTCTCTCAAGTTTTATAATCGTGAGATATCAACATACATGGAGGTCACTATCTTAGTTTTATGGTTTTCTGTCACCAACAATAAATAAATAAATAATCACAGAGCAAACCAGAAGACTGATCTGGATAAAACCCACTCTCCTGAATCCCAGGCTGGTCCCCCATCTGCTCTCACTTGCAATTTAACGTTTAGGTACATTTTAATAAGGAATAAGAGAGGCTGTTTAACATACCCAAAATGACTCTCTGTGTCACCAGAATGTCTGTGTTCTTGGACAGGACAGTTCCTGAGAAGGGGGGCCAGATGTCCATCAGGTCTGATGGCAAGGTGGTTAGCTTGTTGCTGGATATGTCCAGGTAGGTGAGGTTTCTCAGGTACCGGCCAGCATCAGCGGGAATGCTGGTCATTTTATTGTTGTGTAAATCAAGAGTCCGTAAGTTGGGCATCTCTGCCAGTGATTCCCAAGGGAAAGTTGAGAGCAGATTACCATCCAGTCGTAACTCGTGCAGTAGTTTCAAGTTATAAAAGCTGCTGATATCAATGTTGGCTACACAGTTGTACGTTACCCACAGGTATTTGAGATCTACTAGGTAGTAAAAGGCTTCAGTTGGAATCCTTCGTATGACAGTTTTCTCTATTCGAAGTTTTACAGTATCCACAGGAACATTCACAGGGATTTCATACATGTCAGGATCATTACAGAGTACGGACCTAGCACCAGGGGGAAAGTAAAAAGAAAAGGAGAGAGATACTGGCATTTATTTCTCAGAAATTTGAATTTCAGAGTTAAATGCAAATGCTATTACTTTCTGCAACACTACTACCAGAAATGAAGGACAACCCTCTGCATTTAAAAGCTGAACAAACTCCACAAACATGGAGCCTCTAAAGAGAAAAAGAATACAAAACAGAAAAGATCCTTCTTTCCCATGAAATCTAGATTTGCTTTATTCTAAAGCATGTAAGCACCGTCCTCTGTGCATCCCTCGCTCTATTGACAACTGAAAAACAGAAGCCCTTGTATAAGGAATAATGCATGCATGTATCTCAGGTGGGAACTGCATGCCATCTAATTTACTAAAATTCAGAATATAGGATTACTAATCTAATTTTTCTGTATGATAAAGATTAAAAGCATTTTCTATACTTACCTTTCAGAATGGACTGATAATTCAAAACATACCAAAGCATATTTGAGTAAAGAAGAGCTTTCTCTCTCTTTCTGATGTCTACTTATGAATTACTTGCTTTGTAGAGATGCTAAGAACTTTCTGCTCCAATTGATTTCAGTGAAATGGATTTCTCAGCATTTTCAGGTGTCAGTATACTTTTTCATTTCTTTGGGGTATATTGTTTGCACATACTAGCCTGAAGATTCCCCTGCCCTCAGTAAGTCTAATTTTCTCCCCCTTTTCTCTAGATTCTTCCTCTATTTTACTTTTTTCTCATGCAGCTTTATACCAGATAGGCTGTGACAGTAAGGAGCAATGACAAAGAGTACCTCCTAAAATTGACATGATAATACCAGGTCACCACATTTCAAATTAACCTCTTTATTATCAAAAATTACATTATTTACTCTAGATTAAAAAAATAACAAACTACTGTATTTTATTTAAATCAGAGCCACCTTACAGTAGTTAAGTAGTTTGTAGAAATGGAAAGGACATTACAACAGCAGGAAAATCAAGGAGCAGAAAGAAATTGCCTTCTGCAAAAAATGAAGATTTAGAGTAGCTATTTGCCAAGTACAAAGCCATAATCACCATCTGCTCCTGTTCAGGAATGCTGCTAGCCATAGAACATCAGTGTAAAATATGTGTTTATTTCAACTATTCTAGAATTACTTGGTAATGTATGAGAATGTTATCTCCAATTTCTTTAACCCTTTTTCTTATAAATTGCCCTATATAACAAATAATAAAATATATACCTTGTTCCAGTGCCATCACTTCTGCCATGGTAAACGCAAGTGCATTGTGAAGGACAAAACCCAAGAACTTCTTCAAAAAAGCTCATTAGGAAGTAGAAGTAAATAAACAGATACATGGCTTCCTCCCAGCAGAACTGACATGAAAAAATTTGAAAACTTTATTCCTAAGCACTCATGTGCAGTGTGCTACGAACGTGCATGTAGACATCCATTTAGTAACAGCAGATTACAAGAGATTAGCCGAGATCTGTAGTTGCTTAACCTTCAAATGTATCCTGAATGGGATCAGTTAAACCAGCTCGTTCTTTACTCTGTCAGAACACACGCTGCTTCAAATCACATCCAGTGTGTTTTAAGGCTATGTTAATATGTAGCTTGTAGAGCTTGTGTGTAATAAAATATCTCTTTTCTTCTTCTTCTACGAGGAGGTGCATTAGTTACTGTCTATAAAGTGTTCCAAGGTTCCTGGAGGAAGTCTAGTACACCATGAGGATATTGTGAGGCATTTTCTTTAATACTAAAAATTACAAATTAATAGGAAGCCTGGATTCCACAGCTTTTAAAAAATCCCATAAAAACAGGTTTTTGGCAAAAATACACATATATTTAAATAAGTTACACACTACAAAGCCAAACTTCAGATGCACACACAGAAGCTAGGTTTATACAGTCATTTTCTTCATCCTGAATAAATCCATTGCTCATATTTCCAAAGGTATTTCTTGAAAATTACACATCAGACCTATATAACCAAAAGATTGACTTTAAAAGTGATGAGAAATTACCGTAAACATTTACAACATTTACTCAGTGTTATGTGCCTCCCAAGTGTGGAGCTTTAGGGTACATTTTGTCTCATTTTCAGGATTTGCTGTACAGTCACAAGCACTAGAAATATGCTACTAACAAAAAAAAAAAAAAAAAAAAAAAAAAAAAAAAAAAAAAAAAAAAAAAAAGAAAAGAAAAAAAGCTCTCTTTCCTACAAATTAATTTGGTTCTATGAGTTAAAATTTTAAAAATACTTTAAATATCCTGAAACTCCTTCAAAATCCTAAAAGCTGTTAAAAGATTCTATAGCGTTTGGCTAGATATTTTGACATCCTAACATATTCACAGACCTTTGCAAAGCATATCAACATGGACACTTGGTATGGAAATATACAGCCATAGGGAGAATCCAGAATATTTCAAGTCTGGAAAACTTTCAAGGGAAGTTGGTGGAAAGTAATTCATGAAAGGAATTACAAATGTAAAATCTAGGGCTACTGAACCTAAGCACCTCCTGCTTCAGTCTCTCCCTGCCCCTTTGTCGCCTTGCCCAACTCTGTAAGAGTCACAGAGGCCTTTTTCATTTGGGACACATATACTGGGCGAATAAACCTCACTCTCAAAAACTAAAGTCTTAGCAGGTTTTGTCTTTCTGTCTTCTTAACTTATGTAAAAGGATTACTGTGACTAACAAAAAACAGCTGGCTGGGACAGATTATTATTCCAAAAGATTAATTAGCTTTAACCCAGATTTCACTCCTTTCCACGTAATTTATGCAGGCAAATGACAGGAGATCTATGATGTCAATGCCCTTTGAGATACACTCATGGGCAAAGCATTGTTTATAGTTATCTCTTGTCTTGTCTGACATCGCACCATTGCCAGGATCGCCCTCCGAAACCTGCAAAGGACAAGAAAGGAAAAACAGAAATATCATTAGCTGGAGAACAAAATGCAAAGAAAAGCTGCGTAAGATAGCCTTAATTATTACAATAGTTTTCAAACTCACTTAATAAAAGATGTGCATTTGGAATTCAAAAGGTTCTGGGTCTTTTTCACTTCCATGTACAGGAATATACAATTAATTTCAGTGTTTCTTCTACAACAGGGATCACAGCAGCTTTTGCTTATCCCAGGAGAGGGTACATCCACAACAAAGATGAACTTATAGAAAGGGAAGAAACCCAGATGTTTTTTCATCGATTCAGCAGGATCAGGTAAGTTCACCCAGACAGAGATCACAGGCTCTGCTTGAAGGTTGGTAGCAGAGGAAGGAAGGATGCCTCTTTGCAAAACCCACTCCTCAGTCAGAGGCACTGGCTTGATTAGAGCATGCGTTATGCTTGGTCAAATTGGAATAGGCTTAACCTATTTAATTTAATGAAAAGGGTCAATCCATCCTAATAACTCAGAATATGATACATTCCAAATCAAACAAGAAGTAGTTTGATTTGGTAAGTAACGTGTCACTAAGCCACACACATTTTGGCCACAGTCATTAAAACCAGTCTACTACTGATGCAACCCAAATTCCATAATGCATCCTCTTGAGAAAAGACAAAGGGACTTTCAAAACTCTTATAAAAGCTATGTTAATGTTTTCTCAAAAATATTTTATTAATTCAGTACGTTCTGAGGATGATCAAAACAATTTATTTTAGACTTTCCTGTCCAGAAGGTCATCTTTGGTAAATTAACAGTGGCTTACCCTTTGCTCTTCACTAATCATTTGTCATATTTTACAGATGATCCTTCTATAGCCAGATGATATGCTAAAATCATGAAATAGACTGGTACTATAGGAACACTTACTTTTTGTTTGCAATGACATAAATACAGGGATTATAGAATGTGGAAGATTTTGCAAAAAGAGGAGCTATTATGGCCATTGCAGGAGAAATTTTCTTTGGGTCTCCAAAGGAAGACCACAAACACACAATAGAATATGGAGACCATGCCATCAAGAACATTACAATCATCACAACAGACATCTGTAAAACAAGAGGAACAGACATATAACCAGTATTACCTCAAGATGAAGACCTCATAACATAACTTCATAACAAAAGCACATGCAGCTGTGTGAAAACAGATCTATCCTGAATGAAATAATATATGAATAAGCACACCTGACACATTTTGACAGGTTACAATGAAATCTCACTTTAATAGTAGGGGATTTAATAGCACACTTCACTGCCATGTATCTGGCATACGGTCATTTCATTACATACAATCTTCCTTCAAAGTCAGCACTACTGATTATGTTAAATCTCTCCATCAGGAGAGTAGATGACCAGAGACAATTTCACACATGAATTATGACCCCCATAGCAGGACACTCAGGGATGCTATTACAAACAATAAATATGAACAGAGAGAAAAATCTAAGCCATATGTTTAATTAAGCTGTTAATAAAAACATTTCATGTGGCTTAACTATGGTACAGTGAAATAAAAGAAAGTAAATATTCTAGGACCTATACTGAAGGAACCCAGAAGTGTCTGCTTGGTTTAATGAAGAATTATAGCCATGTTCAAGTATCATACTGAGGAGATATCTGATATTCTCTGCCTGTCTATCAGAGGGAACAATCTGGGCATGGTGGGGCTCACACGCCAGAACACAACATGCCACAGCTAAACCTGAACAGCAACAAACTGCGGTAGTGGAGGAGACTCCTGTAGTATCAACTGAGACAGACCTCTCTGGCTTTTGTTAAGGGCACGAATCAATAATGGAAACTGGAATGGAAAGCTCAAATCAAGAGGACAAAACAAACCAGTAGAAAACCAAACAAAACTGCAGGGCTCTTTTTACGTACAGGATTCCCTAGTGCTGTTAATTCAGCCTTTTGGTGATGAACAAAATGAGAAACAAGAAGTAAACAGCTAGTTTGTATGACCTGTTCTAGAGAATAACCAACAAATAAGCAGTGACTCTCTCACAGAAGATTCCTATTTAAATACAAATGCAATACCCATTGATAATAATGTTAGAAATAACACTTTTATTTAGAAGTTTGGTGCACAGAAAGTTTAGAAGATGCTAATTTGTGAAAAGCAAGCAGTCCAAATACACAGAAGGATACTGCTTAGCTCCATAGCTTCAATCTTTTTTTCTTTTTAAACATAACTTTGTGCCTTCAAATGCCAACCCAGAAAAATGTATTTTCTTCACAAACATGAGTCTAAATTTTTAACTGAATCCTCAGTTTCAAGCTTTCTGAAAATTCTTCATAAAAGCAAAATGCTCAATTTATTCTTTGTAGGTAAAAATACTATTTTCAGAATTTAGCAATAATAAAGTTTTCTAAAGAATGTTAAGTTTGCATTGATAAGGAACTCAAAAACATAGGTACATACTCTTCTGTCCAATTCTCTCTCACTTTTTCATCATGCCCAACCATCAATCACATCTTTACACAAAATCAAAGGAGCTAGTGAACTTCAAGATTTCTCAAGGACTCTTGTACATTAAAAGAATGTCCACCTTCCAGGCAGGATACCTCATTTCATGTCATAACTCACATTTGCTTCTGTTTACATAAGAAAGAGATAAGCTCACTAGACTGAAAAGAACAAGGGACTGGAATCACACAGCTTGAATGCTAGAAATGCACTTTCATTCCTAGTTCAAATCAGAGTTGACCAATCCTTTTCAGACCAAATACACCTGGGAACCTAGCAGAAAGCTTAAGGACTCTGCAGGTACAGAGAGTAAAAATTCTTCTAGGGCACCTCTGAGGTATATTTCTGAGGAATGGCAAGAGGGCACAGGCAAGAAAAATTCACAGTGTTCCCAGCCTTTAAAGTAGCTATTCATCTGGAAAGAGTATTAGACCAAAAGTAAAGACTCTAACATTAAAAGTCAAGCCAAGAGTTTACACCAAGGCTCAATTTCAGTTATTTAGTATGAAAGAAAAAGGAGAACACGTTTAAAGAAACCCCCACAGTCATTTACCTTTGTCACATCTACTTGGTCAGACCAATCTATGTTAATGCTCTCCAGGCAGTTACTGCTGGCATATTGTTTCATTGTCCGGGAAACATTGTAATAACAGTAAAACATGACTGTTAAGGGCACAACAAAATTAACAGCAATTACACTCATTGTGTAGGAAACAAAGGACCTGATAAGACAGAAAAACAAAACAGAGTAACTTACAAATAGCCATCCAGGAAAAGTTGCTAAAGAATTTGGTATTTTGCTTTGATTATGAAATTTTATAATAAGCTTTTAAATAATAAGGAAATTTGTCTTTAGTTTTTATTATCAACTACAAGTCTTGCAGTTATGAAGCATGGTTCAATTGTTATGGTTTCTTTTTTTTTCTAGACTTGCTC